TAGAGTAATGCCCTAAATTCCAATAGTGTTGCTATATAGAAAGGGACTCTACAAGTTGTAATCCATCGTACCTATATGTAATGGTGGGTGCACCAGATGTGAGAATCTAGCCACCCAAGGAAGGGATGATTTTACTAAGACAGCACACTGTCTTAGGAAAAAGAGCCAAAGGGTTGTAGCTTAGACTATTCCACAATGCAGCAATCAGGTGTAAGATATAGTGGAGTGGTTTAGACAAGTTGTAACAAATGTTGAGTCTGAGAACTCAGGGATAAGTCAGAGGTTAGCACCTCACTGACTTTTCAGAAACAAGGAGTAACAAGATCAATGCTTGGAAGCTTGGAAAAGATGTGGAAGTATGTGATAGTCGATTTACTGTATTGTCTGCTTGCCCTTTCTTAAGGAAAGGGCAATCCTATTTATGCTAAAGGAGTGTAGTTCTCTCATTTTCCAAGACTTTCCATAACTAACCAGGCTTGGTAACTGTAGTCAACGTAAGAGAATCCCATAGAACCATCTCCTAGGTTCCTAGCCTATAGGAAGTGAAAGGAGGTCCAAGGTCAGAGTACCCCTATAGACAAATTATGTCATAACTTAACCAATCTTGTGGGTAACTAAGGAGCGATGACGTGTAATGAATTATAGAGGGCTGTAGAAGCTTTTGGAGCTATCGTTCATGTTCCTAGCCCTCTAGTTGATAGAGATATGTAGCAATCGTTGAGTAGTATTGCTCTTGTTGTTGGTGTGACAAGCCAAAATATGTATAGTGACTTGTAGATTTGAGGAGGAGATTTCTAAGTTTACTCTTGAGTTTGATAGCAAACTGAGTGCAACGAATGTCAGTATGACACTATAGCCACTTAACAACTAGTGTCTAAGGTTTGAGTTGTAATAGTAGAGAGACAGTGGCATTTATAATTCGCATTCTTAGCTTTATCAAAAGCATTAGCGATACTGCTTTGAATTAGGGTAGTTTGAGATTCCTAAGTAGAGGATATATCAATGTCGTGTTCTTTTAGGTGCCTTGTAATAATCTTCGTTCCACTAGCCTTAAGATACTCCTTTAGACAGTATCTACAACGCCATATTAACCTGCCCTAGTGGTTATGAATGATATTGTAGTGGCTAACAATGTGATAGGGGGGCAACTATGTCATTCGCTTCATCTACGAGAATTGTAAAGTTAAGGCATTTAACTCTGTCTACTAGTATCTTGTTATAGCTATGGTAACGTGACTTATGGTTATAGGGTAGGTAGGTCAATCCTTCAAGATATACTCGCTATTGCTCAAAGGCAATGACAATGGCTATTAGCTCCTTGTCGTAGATGTCATAGTTGAGCTCTATAGGTGATAGTTTTCTAGAGTAATATGCAACTGGTTTAAGCTTTCCGTCTTTGTCTAGTTGACTTAGACATGCTCTAATCCACAGCCTATGCTAACCCCACAAGCTGTACATCAAGCTATACAATGTCTGATTAAGTTCATAGAATCTAGGAATAGTGGCATAAAGGATGTAGTAGTGTATTTACAGTCCCTTAAGAAGTTTAAGAGAGAGTTGGGGCTTATAGCTGCCAATTCTAAGGCATAGAGAACTTTAGATAGGTGGTTTATGTAAATAGCCTAGTTTTCTATAGATGTCACGTGAAATTCAATATCTTAATATTTACGCTATCTTAATATTATTTATAGGAGCCGAGCTATTGACTTAACAGATTATGACTGTATCTACTAGATAGTTCGGATAGTTAGATAGTTCTAACTATCCCAACTATCTAACTATCTACTAGATGAGTCATGCTACTACAGCCTAGCCTTGTGACTATAAATCATGTTACTACTACCCTATATAGGTATAGACAGATTATAAGAATCTCATATACTTCACCATAACTAAGGTTTTAACCATAGACAAGTCTGATATGCAGAGACACTCGCAGCCTACAACTTCACGATTACATATCGCAACGGCTCTAAGAATGCAAGAGCTGATGCTCTTAGAAGACATTAGCCCTAGAAGAAAAACCTAGAGCCATATTAAAGAAAACAGACGTAGGAATGCAATACCACACGCAAAGACAGGACGTGTTACAACTGCAGCAGGACAGGCCACCTATCGAAGGAATGCCTGAGTCAGACTGACTACATTAGCCCTAGAAGAAAAACCTAGAGCCATATTAAAGAAAACAGACATAGGAATGCAATACCACAAGTTACTAGCCACAATCTCTACTATAGAGAACTCAGAGGTGGAAGAAAGACTTAAGAAAGCTTATGTAACAGATGAATGTGCAAAGTTAGTCTTAACTAAAACCAAAGGCGACTTCGCCATTAATAAACAAGGATTGATCCAATTCAAAGGATTAGTATATGTCCTAAACTAAATGAGATGCCTACTAATGTAAGAACAACACTTGCTACTAGCACATAGCCATTAGGGAGTAATACGCGAACAAATCACCTAACATTACTATTTCCTAGGTATAAGAAAGCAGGTGGAAACAATGGTAAGAGAGTGCAACATTTACAGCAAATCGAAATCCAATAGGCACTTGCCCTATAGACAGCTCAAGTCAACACTAGTACTAAATAGAGCATGAAAATCTATAGCTTTAGACTTTATCATCAAGCTACTACACTCTTAGGACCTGTTAACAGGAGTAGAAAATTGTTACAATGGTCATAGAGGTCATGATGCTAGTCTAGGTAAAGTAAGCTAGATTGAATCTAAAGAGAGAAGAAGAAGAAAGGAAGGCAGGTAAGGCTTCCCTCATTATATACAGCTGTTCGCTTAGCAATCCCTTGTAACCTTTATGGCTACCATAGCTGCCTGTTCCCATAGTTGCTAGCAGCTGTGAGCTGTGATCATAACAAGAACCACAGAACAAAAGCTTTATTACTTGATTCTTATACAAGTCACCATTATCCTCCCTTTGCTATTCTTGTAGACACCATATATACCCCTTTACATTTCCATCTCATCTCACACACATTTTACAACCACTTATGTCAGAATTTTCCAACTGTATAAGCATTAGCACAAAGTTGCCATTTAAGCAGCACAGAAGTTTGATCTACAACATGATATCTCTTCATTCATGCGAGATCTTCCATAGATTAGAGCATACTTTCAAACCTCAAACTGGAATGTAGCCTATAAATAGTGTAGTTTCTCTTGCAAAAATCCAGAAATACTCAAAGCCATTATAAGAGGATGAAACACAACCTTTGCTACCTATGTTAAAGAATTTAGAGAAGCAACTTCAAGTATAGAAAGATAAGTTTACTCCATTGTTAAGTAGCCCGTCAAAACAGTAATTTCATACTTCATTGCAAGGGATAGAGGGAGTATTAGCAGAGTTTGATTATTCTATGCTACAAGGACAAGTTCAACGGAGTCAAAATTGCAAAAGCAGAAGCCATCGTACACTTCAATTTAGGGGTGCTTTAACTACAGCTCATGTACATGCTAGGATTCATCAAAGGGCATACAAGGAGGTTGACAAGCAAGAGAAGCAAGTTGCTAGAATAGCAAAGGTAGAAGCACCACAAGCAAAGAAGGCTTTACATCAAGCTAGGATTAAAGCACGGAAGAGAGAGCAAGGGCGAAAGAAGGAGGTTGCACGGCTTCTTCGAGTAAAATAGTTTATACCAATTAAGCTCTTGACTCCCATTCTTGATCTAGAGGCACAAGCAAAGGCACAAGCAATGGCAGAAGCAGAAGCACAAGCAGAATCAGAAGGGGTAGTTGGGCAAATAGAGGTAGTAGATATGGTAGGAGATGATGGTTCTGATGAAAGTGATGAGGAGAGTGTAGTTTTCACGTTGTAGAATAAATGAGAAGAAATACCTTTCTATATAATTTTCTATGTGAAGATACCTACTTATTTGCCCTAAGAGGGGACACTTGCTTACCAGGGGACACTTGCTTACCAGGGGACACTTGCTTACCAGGGGACACTTGCTTACCAGGGGACACTTGCTTACCAGGGGACACTTGCTTACCAGGGGACACTTGCTTACCAGGGGACACTTGCTTACCAGGGGACACTTGCTTACCAGGGGACACTTGCTTACCAGGGGACACTTGCTTACCAGGGGACACTTGCTTACCAGGGGACACTTGCTTACCAGGGACACTTGCTTACCAGGGGACACTTGCTTACCAGGGGACACTCGCTTCCTCCGACTGTGAGCGAAGCGAACAGGCGGTCCTGACGATGATGTCTTTCCACCGTAAACCTTTGCTCTTCAGGCACATCAGCTTATCGTCTTATTGCTCCTCATATCTGAGGCGCCCACGCTTTCTCTGCTTCTGCAGGGCTGGCCGTGACCTCTTTGCATGAGATGCGCAAACCGGGGAATGGGCTGATCCTCCAACTGATTCCCCGCTAGACGTGGAATTTGATATGTGGAGACCGATTGATAGTCTGAACGAATCCGTTAACTCCATGATGCAGCCTATTTTCCCCCGGCCTTTTTATTTTTATCTATGCCTGTTGTACATGTGCTTGTTTTGCTTGCTTCTCTTCCTTTGGTGGATCATTACACCCGGCCCCTCCCGCCCCTCCCGCCACTCCCGCCCTTCCCGCCCCTCCCGCCGCCTGTCATATTCCACGCCAAGCAGAGCCTTGCGACGCTAAGGTCCATGGAGCACTCAAAGGGAAGGTGACCTCACTTCATAGAACCAGCTCGCATCTAACCAGGAGCCTACCCGCTGATGTCGACAGCGGTTATTTTTATATCTTTATGATTTGGAATTTGCCAATTAACCGGACACTCAAGGTCGGCCAACTTCCCGATTAGGCCAGCCTTTCGGGCCGTCCCGCTAATTACAGGTTCCTCCTGGCAGCCTTCTCGTATTTTTAAAGGCATGTTCTGATTCGACCCCGTTCATATTCAGACAGATAATTAAGTTGCAAAGTTCTATGAATAGATACCTGAGCAGAAATCGTGTATGTTTTGGACCAGCTTTTCATTCTGCTCGAGTATATAAACCTCCTCTCCACCTCCCCTTGGCCCTCTTGCTATTAACACTTCATCACTCTTCATTACTGAGTCTAATCATCTCATTGAGCCGGAAATTTCTGTACACTTTCTAAAATGCTTGCAAAGCCTCTCCTCATCCTCGGCCTGATGGCCATTGCCTCCTCATTCCAAATCCCGCAGGGAGCGACAGACGGAGTCTACCGGGCCTACATTAACGAATCTGGCGATGAAGTCCACGAGCTGATTCCAGCTGGCGCCATAGACATCTCGCCTAGGGTACCAATGAAGCATGATGCTCTTTCTGCCGGGCTTGCAAAGCGTGGCGAAGCTTGGTGTGGATGTGGTTTTGGAATGGACCACGGAAGCTGTGATGGGGCAAACAACGCTCTTTCCAAACAACTCAACAATGGGGGCATCATCAATGGCGGGATGTCCTTCTATTCCGTTGTGGGCAGTTCCGTTGCATTTTTGTGCAATCGAGATTCATTTCCCGCACAAGTGTTCTCGGGCACTGTTGTTATCGGCGCTCGGCAGGTTACGGCGGCTTGCGGTTATTACATTGCTGGAACCTGGCGTGTCGATGGGTTTAAGGCTATGGATTATGGGTACATGAACTGGAACAACGGCCTTAATATCTGTGGCAATGCTGAAAATTCTCACCAGCACCACTGTTGATAGGGTAATGATGCGACAGAGGGCAGCACGGCGACGAGAGCTTTCGGTTGTTGTATAGAGTTCTCTCCTAGAGTTTTAGCTCGGCCAGCCGTTCGCGGGTTTATATTCTTACAGTCTATATAACGTGGACCTTTTAATAGTTAAAAGGTCTAACTTACTAAATTAACAAAGTGATTAAAAAAGAATACACATTTTCATACTTAACATACAGTGGGTTAGGGTTCATACCTTGCGCCAGTGGCTAGAGAAGTTAGCAACCTCACCCACCTGTCCAAGGACACTTCATATGTTCAAGGACGAAACCAAGATGAATGCTGGCCCCAATTATAGCGGGTGATGTACGCGTTGTTTCCACTCCTCATGAGGAAGACACAATATCCGCGGTGTATCGGTGATGCAGCTATGTGCATGGAGGAAAGAACGTTCTCATACTGTCGACCAGCAGTAATGAATGACCACTTTAACCGCGAGCACCTGGATACGATGAAGACCATGTAGCGAGATAGCTTCATCGTCTGTGATCACCCGAAATGCAGGCAGGCGGATCTGATGTTGAAGAGTCTTGACCATTTTCGGAACCATGTAGCACGGGTTCACGGTACCTCACTCAGGCCTGTTGGGGGAAACGAACATTCCCGTGCATTACGATGGGCTCTTACACCTGAAATGACAAGTTTTCATCTGGGGGATTGTCGAGCTCCCCAGTTAGCTCTCGAGCCAAGCAGTAGCACCAGACTATTGGAAGCCACCGATTTAGGCCAGCTGAGCCCTGGAAGCTCGGCTCGTCAGGACTTTGGGGTTTCTCTAGGGCTACAAATAGCGTATGTAGGCCCGTAGATTAGGTAGTAATTCAATTTGATCGATATTACATTTTACTGTACTCTACTGTGAAGCTTCTGCTCTGTTGCCCGAAGAGACTAGAGGGATTTAGCTGCCTGACCTTCGGGCTTTTAACCAAGGCCGGAAGAAGAAGGTGCCACATAGTGGCTTGGCACCTCCTTCTTCCGGCCTTGCTTAAAAGCCCGAATGTTAGAGGTGGCTTTCAAAAGTTTTGTCCTACGCTAATAACGCCACAATTGATAATTTAATTTATACTAAGTTATTCAATCTGCCCGCCCCTCCCTGTACTCGTCTCCGCCTTAAGTTCAATGACCTTCTGTATATGCCGAGGAATCCTCTTAATCCACGCTTGGATTTGAGATGTGGAAGATCTTCCTAGCAGCCCTCCCATGCCCGTATTGCCTCTGCCCGGCTTTTAGGTGCCCCTTTCCGTGTAGTCCGTCGCTTCATCTATAGCCAACATGGCTCAATTGTGTTAAGGTCGTGATGCACTTGAGCACTAGGCCAGGACCCGCGGTTAAATGAATTTGTTCAAAAAGGTGGTGTGGCGCGCGTTTGTGGCTGAGAAACGCCTTAAACGCTGCTCGTAGACCCTCAGATCCCGTCGCGGTTAGCATCTATTGAACAATATCCGTAGGATTCGTAGAGTAGCGTAGCCGTAGAATAGGGGTAGGATCCGTAGCAGTAGGTAGAGAATATAAACCGTAAATGCAGTCACGAAGCAGTAGGGCCCGAAGCGATAATTTTGTAAAGCATGTTTTTATAATTGAAGCTATTCTAAGTACTATATATACTGTTACGGGTGTGCCTATTCGTGGTTCGGATCCTAAAACCCTCCTGGTTTCGGTTCGTTCCCTGGAGCTTCAGAATCGAAGCTTTAGAATCGGAAGATCCAGGATCCGGAGGATCACGAAGCTGGCTGACACAGCTTCGGTATCAGGGCCCTGATCCCTGCTTCCGGGCCGAGGATTCAACAGCATCTCTCACCTTCGATCCTCCAACATTCTGCCCGCCGACCGTGTCAGCGCGAAGTTGTCATGTGAACGCTCTATGTCTTTCCCTGCATGATATTTCCATAGATGGAGTCCAGTTCATCTCGCATAGTCTAATCCCTTGGCTACCAGATCCTCGTCCTCTCGCCATGGCCAACCTCTCCAGAGGCCATCAGAAGCAAACCAATAAGGGACGGGTTGAATGTGTTTCGCGATTCATTCAAATCTTTGTGTGAGAAGCTTGAGATATCTACTTCCGTGGCCGGATTGCAATACATTGGCCATGAAGGTACGTACAGTGGACTGCACATTGTTCTCACTTAGGTCTTCAAAATCTAGCACTTGATCTTATATCCGCCTTGCAAATTCTCCCTGCCTCTCGTATATTACGGTCTAGCACTGGCAACATAAATTTCTTCAGCGGGTCTTTCAAGGCTTAATTCGGCTGTCAATAGCGACGACTTCAATATCAAACAAGTTACACCACTATTAACAGCCGTGATCAGTAATGAATCCGACGATATCATCTGGGACAAAGCCTATGTCGCTGTAACTGAATCTGCACCACAGGCCCGCTGGTCCAACGCTACAAGCAGTATTGTCAACTCCTCGGCTGCCTTCGACACGCCCTTACGATCCAGCTCGGCTTCTCAGAGGGGAATCGAGCACACGATGAAGTCGACCAGCGAATCCTTGAAGAGCTCACAGGGTGCGTCTACAACGGTGTTGGGGGGTTCATTGAGAGATATTTCGAAGGAAAGATCTGGATGAACAACACCGAGAGATATCTACAAAAATTCGAGACACCAATAATGCTGAAGGTCACTGGAGCGGGTGGCCAGAGCCTTCAGCCCAAGGTTCCTTTTTTGAGTGGTTCATGAAGTTCCAGGACACTGTTCTCAGTGGACTTGACCGCCGGTATTACACATCAGCAAACAAAGTGCTGAGTGTAACGCTGACTTCTAAACGATAGAAGACACAGAGGTTTCTTGCGTAAGGTTGACTTGACAGAGGAGGCAGGGGATTAGACACAAAGGCTTTCCAAGTAACACGTTACAGTATTGTAAAGAATACTATATTGAGTTGAGCACGAAGCTCCTATCTAAGGAAATACTATCTACTTATATAGTGGCATCGTGCCAAAGGGATATCCGTGGGTAACATAGATAACATAATATCCATGATATCCAATGTTATCCATCACCTGATATTCTGTGGATCCCTGTGGATAACATGGATAACATAATATCCAAGATATCCAATGTTATCCATCACATGACATTCCATGGATTGCCGTGGATAACATGGATAACATAATATCCATGATATCCAATGTTATCCATCACGTGAGGTTGCAGCCGTAAGCGCTAGCCATAGCACTAGCACTTAGCCGTAACACTGAGAGGCTCTGAGGCAGATTGCAAGCTTGACATTTTCCTCAGCCCTGCCAACGTTGCCCTACTGAACGGCGAGCATGACTGGTCAAATGTACTCGTCATTGGGCCTCATGAGGATGGGTCTACAAAAACACTATTACAGTTGGCAGGCTACGCGCGGGAAGTGTTGGGAAGTCAACCGGATCGGCGATTTGTGCCTGGCTTTACCATCTGCGGAAGCGTGATGCGGCTTTGGGTGTTTCATAGATCTGGCCCATACAGCTCCGAGAAATTTGACATCCACAAAGAGCCAGAGTGGTTCGTTCAGGTTATTGCTGGCTATGCGCTGATGACGGATGCAGAGTTGGGATTAAATACATTTATCAGGCGCGATGGTGATACATACATCATCACACAAGGCTGCAGGGTCCAGCCAAGTTCTCTGGGGAAGATCTAGAAGCAGCAAGGGTCGCCTGACAGGTTTAGGAATCAGCACAAGCAGCACCATGATCTCCTCTTCTGGGCAGAAATGGAAAAAGAGGAGCAGCATTTATGTGAGGAGGAGGGACGACAACGCGAAGCAGCCGAGGCGGAATCTCAGTCAAAGAACCTCATCGAGTATCTCAAAGCTTGCATACCTTCTCGCTTGCACCCAATATCTTCTGAGTTGGGGGCTTGGTGCCGGGTTGGCGCTTGGCGGCCTAGGCGGTATCGCTGCCCCTTATCCCGGGCACGGAGTGAGAATTCCACAATACATGACGGATCAGAATCAAAATAAGAACATTCTCCAACCAATGGAGATTCAAGGAAGCCATAGATAGCGGAGGCATGGGGAAAGGAACTGTAGCTGATGTTGTAGTCAGTAAGCCATCTCTTCCCCCAGTGTAAACAAAGGCAGGCCAGTATGGTGTGGTTGCTAGAACAGGCCAGAAAGCCTCAGCCTGATGTTTATATTTCTTGTTGCTGCTATCCTGGGCCAGCTGTAATGGTGGGTGAACCAGATGTGAGAATCTAGCCACCCAAGGAAGGGATGAATTTACTAAGACAACACACTGTCTTAGAAAACAGAGCCAAAGGGTTGTAGCTTAGACTATTCCACAACGCAGCAATCAGGTGTGTGATGTAGTGAAGTGGTTCAGACAAGTTGCAACAAATGTTGAGTCTGGGAACTCAGGGGTAAGTCAGAGGTTAACACCTCACCGACTTTTCAGAAACAAGGAGTAACAAGATGAATGCTTGGAAGCTTGTAAAAGACGTGGAAGTATGTGATAGTCGATTTACTGTATTGTCTGCTTGCCCTTTCTTAAGGAAAGGGCAATCCTATTTATGCTAAAGGAGTGTAGTTCTCTCATTTTCCAAGACTTTCCATGACTAACCAGGCTTGGTAAATGTATTAGAAATCAAGTGCGACCCACAACTAGCTTGCTAATCATGTAGCGAATGTAAGAGAGTCCCATAGAACCATCTCTTGGGTTCCTAGCCTATAGGAAGTGAAAGGAGGTCTAAGGTCAGAGTACCCCTATAGACAAATTATGTCATAACTTAACCAATCTTGTGGGTGACTAAGGAGCGATGATGTGTAATAAATCATAGAGGTTGTAGAAGCTTCTAGAGCTATTGTTCATGTTCCTAGGCCTCTAGTTGGTAGAGATATGCCCTGTGGTAGTATTGGCCCACCCCCTTAAGGAGGAGATTTTCTTAATAACTTGTTCAATGAGTGTCCAACTGATATGCCGTGATGTATGTAGCATAAACAGATGTACTAGAAGAGTTTGCAGCAATTGTTTAGTAGTATTGCTCTTGTTGTTGGTGTGATAAGCCAAGATATGTATGGTGACTTGTAGGTTTGAGGAGGAGATTTCTAAGTTTGCTCTTGAGTTTGATAGCAAACTGAGTGCAACGAATGTCAGTATGACACATACCCATTAATGGTTGTAGATGGAGAGCCCATCTCAACTAACAATGGAATGGTGACCCACGAGACGGTCCCATTAGAAATGGTCATGCTACGCGGACACAAGGAAACGATACAGTTTGATATCGTGCACATGGACAATCATGCATGCATACTTGGTGTACCGTGGCTCAAGAAACACAACCCCCAGATAGACTGGCGGAATGAGAAAGTTGTGATGAGCCAGTGCGCATGTGAACAACGAACGGACATGACGCAGAAGGAGAAAACCTCCAAAGACCGGAAGGAGTTATGTGCGACCACCGAGTCTGATGACCTAGCCCAGGCATCCTCACTAAAGCAAATACCAGTGGAGTATAAGGAATACGAGCAGTTATTCTGGGAAGGCCCTAACGAAGAGGCGCTTCCTAAGCACCAACCATGGGATCATGAGATACCTATCATGGAAGGAAAGAGTCCACCGTTCGGACCAATATATCAGATGTCAGCAGCAGAGCTGGACATACTGAAGGAATACATTGACAAGAACCTCACGAAACGGTTCATTCGACCATCGACATCACCAGCAGGAAGTCCAATACTATTTGTGCCAAAGAAGGACAAGAAGCTAAGACTCTGCGTGGACTATCAAGGAACGAATAATGTCACTATCAAAGATAGATATGCCTTACCTTTGATAAGCGAACTACACGACCGGTTCCAGGGAGCCAAGATATTTACCAAGCTGGACCTCAGAGGCACCTATAACCTGATTCGAATCAAGAAAGGGGATGAGTGGAAAACAGCATTCCGCACCCGCTATGGCTTGTTCGAATACTTGGTTATGCCCTTTGGTCTAACAAATGCAGCAGCATCCATGCAGAGGCTCATGAATGCAGCTCTCCATGAATACTTGGATTTGTTTGTTATCGTCTACCTAGACGATATCTTAGTCTACTCAGGAGACCCAACGGAACACATTGGTCATGTTCGGAAGGTATTACAGAAGTTAAAGGAGCATCAGTTACTCCTCAAGCCAGAAAAATGTGAATTCCACAAGGATCAAGTTGAATTCTTAGGCTACATTGTCGGAACACATGGCATCAAAATGGACCAAGCAAAGGTCACAGCAGTGTTGGAATGGCCAACACCAACCACGGTCAAAGAAGTACAAGCCTTCTTAGGCTTTGCCAACTTCTACCGGAGGTTTATTATGGGATATTCCAAGGTAGCTCAACCACTTACAGAGCTTACAAGGAAAGAGAAGCACCTATCCTAGTCACATTCGACCCTGCAAAGAGGATTGTCCTCGAAACGGACTCCTCTGACTTCGCGATTGGAGCCTGTCTAAGTCAGCCAGACAAAGATGAGAAGCTTAAGCCAGTTGCATATTACTCTAGAAAACTGTCACCCGCGGAGCTCAACTACGACATCCATGACAAGGAGCTGATAGCTATTGTCGTTGCTTTTGAGCAATGGCGAGTATATCTTGAAGGATCGACCTACCCAGTACAGGTATGGACGGATCATAAGAATCTCATATACTTCACCACAACCAAGGTTTTAAACTGCAGACAAGTCCGATGGGCAGAGACACTCGCAGCCTACAACTTTACGATTACATATCGCAAGGGCTCTGAGAATGCAAGAGCCGATGCTCTTAGCAGAAGGACTGACTACATCGGCCCTAAAGAGGAAAGACCTATAGCCATATTGAAGAAAACAGATGCAGAAAATGCAATACAACGAGTTACATTGCCACTGTGGAGAACTCGGAGTTGGAAGAAAGACTCAAGAAAGCTTATGCAACAGACGAATGTGCAAAGCGAGTCTTAATAAAAACTGAAGGCGACTTCGCCATCAATGAACAAGGATTGATCCGATTCAAAGGATTAGTGTATGTCCCAAACAAAATGAGATGCCCGCTAAGTGCAAGAACAACACTCGCTACCAGCACACGGCCATCAGGGAGTAACACGCACCTTCGAACGAATCACCCGACACTACTACTTCCCAGGTATGAGGAAGCAGGTGGAAACGGTAGTAAGAGAGTGCGACATTTGCAGCAAATCAAAATCCAATAGGCACTTGCCATATGGACAGCTGAAATCGACTCCAGTACCAACAGGAGCATGGAAATCTATAGCTTTGGACTTCATTGTCTACCACCCTCTCAGGACCCGTTAACAGGAGTAGTATTTTGTTGAAGGAGGAGGTTGCTCAGACTGATTGGTTAGGCGTGTGGCTCGCCAACCGAATCGGGTTGCGGACCACCCACAAATAGTTCCGTAGATAGCTTCACTCAGAACAACAATACAAAACATATATTCAAGTGAACTGTTGTTCAACTCAACGTGATAACTATGCCGCTGCAGATACAGATACACCACTGATCTCAACAGGTTATGAGCCCGGCTATCGCAAAAGCCAAAAAAGTTACCATATTCAGAGAAGTGCTCATTACAGCACATACAATCTGAATTCGTGGACAAGCGCTAACATACAGCACATACACTCCACGAAAACCTCAAGACGAACTTGCAGCCTCTAGCAGATGATCGATTCAACTCAGCAAGAAGAGGAAGAAGAAGATCAATTCTACAATCTAGGAAGCCCCAGATCGAATTCATCATCCATCATCCAACTCTCACAAACTCGAAATTCCTTATCCAAACACACAAGACCTTTCACAATGGGTGAAGGCAATGGAGGTCGGAATAACCTCCCAGAGAACATGAAACTCCGAGGAGAGGAGAATTACATACAATGGAAAACTGCGATGGAGGACCTCGCGGATGCCAACGACCTTGTCCGTTTCGTACACCCAAAAGGCAAAGCTCCTCCACAAGCAGATGAGTTCGATGAGAAGGTGGACATTGAGAAACTCGCCACATGGAAAGCGTGGAAAGCAGGAGACGCATCGATGAAACTCATCATCCAAACTAATGTGAAGAAAACACCATCACAGCTGCTTGCAGGTTGCAAGTCAGCACGCGAAATGTGGGTGATCTTACAGTCTCAATATGAAGGAACTGGCGCAGTTCTCAACTTCAATGCAATTGAAACATACACCAAGATCAAGTACGAAGACTACGCAAACCTTGAACAATTCATCATTGGGTTCAAGAAAGCAATTGAGAAGCTCGCCAACCTCGAGATCTCTCCACCAGATGCGTGGCATCCAATTCTCTTCATCATGGCACTTTCAGATGCATGGCCAATCTGGGCAGAACGCCAGCGCTCGAATACCCGTAGTGAAGTAACAAAGCTCACACTCTCCGCGCTTATTGAGGATATTACGGATGAAGCTCGCAAGAAGGACAAGAAAGCAGATGGAAGCATACACTACAATGGCAAACCACCTACGAAGGGCAAACCAAATTCGAAATTCAAAGACAGTGCAAAAGGGAAGAGTGGAAAGATGTGCAAGAACTGCGAAAATCCAAATGCAAGGCATGAACCCGAAAACTGCTTCGTTACAAACAAGAAGCTCCGTGACGAATGGGAACAACGGACTGGAAAGAAGTTCATGCCATTTAAACCGTCAAACTCAAGTAGCAAAT